AAACAGATAATTTTCTGTCTTCCTTTCCAATTGGGATACCTTTTCTTTCTTTTTCTTGCTCAAATGCCCTGGCTACAACTTCCAGTGCTATGTTGAATAGAAGTGACAAAAATGGTCATCCTTGTCTCACTCCTGATCTTAGAGAAAACTCTTTTAATCTTTCACCATTGAGTATGATGTTTGCTGTGGGTTACTCATATAAGGCTTTTATTATGTTGAGACAGGTTCCTTCTATTCCTCTAACTCTAGTTTGTTGAGTGTTTTTCCCCCTAGCCTTTTCTATCCTTTTCCTTTCTTTTTTTGAAGATTGGCCCTGAGCTAACATCTGTTGCCAATCTTCCTCTTTTTATTTTTCTTCCCAATGCCCCAGTACATAGTTGTATATCCTAGTTGTAGGTCATACTAGTTCCTCCATGTGGGATGCTGCCACAGCATGGCTTGATGAGTAGTGTGTAGGTTCCATGCCCAGGATCTGAACCGGAGAACCCCAGGACGCCAAAGTGGAGCACGTGAACTTAACCACTTGGCCATGGGACCAGCCCCTCTTGAGTGTTTTTATCATGAAACACTGCTTGATTTTGTCAGATGCTTTTTCTGCATAGAGATGATCATTTGGTTTTTTTCCCTTTATTCTGTTAATGTGGTGTATTACCTTGGTTGATTTTCGTATGTTGAACTATTCTTGCATTCCAGGAATAAATCTCCCTTAGTCATGATGTATAACCCTTTTAATATGATTCTGAATTCAGTTTGCTACTATTTTGTTGAGAATTTTTACATCAATGCTCATAAGGAATATTGGTCTAAAGTTTTCTTTTCTCGTTAATGTTTTTCTTTGGCTTTTTTTTCTAGTATCAGGGTAACGCTGGCCTCATAGAATGAGTTAGGAAGTGTTCCCTCTGCTTCAGTTTTTTGGAAAAGTTTGAGAAGGATTGGTATTAGTTTTTCTTTAAATGTTTGATAGAATTCACCAGCGATGCCATCAGCCCCAGGGCTTTTCTTTGTTGGGAGATTTTTTTTATTTTAACTGAGTCAATATCCTTTCTAGTTATAGGTCTATTCAGATTTTGTGTTTCTTCTTGATTTAGTCTTGGTAGGTTCTGTTCTTCCAGAACTTGTGTGTTTGATCTAGGTTATCCAATTTGTGTAAGATTTTTCATAGTACTCCCCTATAATCCTTTTTATTTCAGTAGAGTTGGTAGTAATGTCCCAATTTTCATTTCTGATTTTAGTAATTTGAGTCTTCTTTTTTTTCAGTCCATCTACCTAAAGGTTTGCCTATTTTATTAATCTTTTCAAAGAACCAACTTTTTATTTTGTTAACTTTATTGTTTTTCTGTTTTCTGTTTCATTTGTCTCTGTTCTAATCTTTATTATTTCCTTCCTTCAGAGAGTTTTCAGTTTAGTTTGTTCTTCCTTTTCTAGTTCCTTAATTTGTAAAGTTGGGTTGTTGACTGAGTTCTTTCTTGTTTTTTAATGTAAACATTTGCACCTATAAATTTCTCTCTCAGCACTGCATTTGCTGCATTCATAAGTTTTCATATTTTTTCACTTTCATTCATGTTCAAGTATTTTTGAATTTTCCTTGTGACTTCTTCTTTTATTCATTGGTTGTTTAAAAGTATGTTGTTTAATTTCCATAAATTTGTGAACTTTCCAGTTTTACTTTTGTTATTGATTTCTAACTTCATCCTGTTGTGATGAGAGAAGATATTTTGAAGATCTATCTTTTAAAATCTATTGAGACTTAATTTGTGGTCTAACATATAGTCTATCCTGGAGAATGTTCCATGTGTACTTGAGAAGAGTGTGTATGCTGCTGCTGTTGGGTAGAGTGTTCTCTATATGTCTGTTAGGTCTGGTTGATTTACTGTGTTTAAATCCTCTATTTCTGTGCTTATCTTCTGTCTGGTTGTTTTATCCACTAATGAGAGTGGGGTACTGGAGTCTCCAACTCCAACTATTCTACAACTGCCTGTTTCTTCCTTCAGTTTGGTCAGATTTTGCTTCATATATTTGACGGTCCACTGTTAGGTGTGTAAATGATTTTAACTGTCATATCTTCTGGCTGTAGCCAACCTTTTATTAATACATAATGTCTTTTGTCTCTTGTAAACTTTTTTGATTTAAAGTCTGTTCTCTCTGCTCTCTTTTGGTTACTATTTGCAAGGAGTATCTTTTCCCATCCTTTCACTTCAATCTATTTGTGTCTTTGGATCTAAAGTGAGTCCCTTATAGGCAGCATCTAGTTGGATCATGTTCTTTTATCCATTCTGCCAGTCTTTGTCTTTTGAGTGGAGAGTTTAATCCCTTTATACTCAAAGTAATTACCGATAGATGGGAACTTCTGTAATTTTGCTATTTGTTTTCTACATGCCTTGTAGCTTTGTTGTCCCTCATTTCCTGTATTACTCTCTCCTTTTGTGTTTAGTTGATTTTTTGTTTTTTTAAATGAAGCAACTCTGATAACTTCAATCAGGTTAGATCTCTTTTTGGTGAGGAAGTTTGGCCTTGAGCTAACATCTGTTGCCAATCTTCCTTTTCTTTTGTTTCTCCCCAAAGCCCTAGTACATAGTTGTGTATCCTAGTCGTAGGCCATTCTAGTTCTTTTATGTGGGATGCCACCATAGCATGGATCAATGAGCAACGCGTAGGTTTGTGTCCAGGATTTCAACCAGTGAACCCCAGGCTGCTGAAGTGGAGCTCACGAACTTAACCACTCAGCCACGGGGCTGGCCCCTAGTTGATTTTTTGTAGTGAAATGTTTAAATTCGTTCCTCACTTCCTCTTGTGTATATTCTATTGTTATTTGTGTTTACTAGGGAATTACATTTAATATCTTAAAGTTATAACACTTTAATTTGAATTTACACCAGTTTAACTTGAATAACAGAAAAGCTCTGCTCTTTTACAGCTTCATCCCTGTCCGTCTTGGTTGCTGATATCACAAAATTACATCTTTAAATACTGTGTGCCCCAAAACATGAACTAATAATTATTTTAAACGCACTGAACTTTTAAATTATGTAAAGAACAAAATTTGGAGTTCCAAACCAAAGTTACAATATTACTAGCTTTTAGACTAACAATTGGGTTTTATAAAATGTATTAGTCTCTTAAATCATGTAGAAAACAACAGGTGGAGTTACAAACCATTGTCGCATGACACTAGCTTTTATAACTGCCCGTGCGTTTACTTTTATTGAGATCTTTGCTTCACATGGCTGCAAGTCACTGTCTAGTGCTCTTTCACGTCACCGTGCAGGGCTCCCTTGAGCAGGTCTTGCAGAGCAGGTGTGGCAGTCACCAACCCCCTCAGCTTTTGTGCATCTGGGAATGTCTTAATTTCTCCCTCACTTCTGAAGGACTGTTTGCTGGATAGAGGTTTCTTCACTGACAGTTTTTTTCTTTTAGCGCCTTGAACATTCTGGTCCACTGCCTTTTGGCCTCCAAAGTTTATGATGAGAAATCTGCTAGAATCTTATTGAGAATCCCTTGTATGTGATGACCACTTCACTCCTGCTCGTTTTATGATTCTCCTTGCCCATTCAGGATGACCTTGCTTATTATTTCCCAATAAACACAGAAGGCATCAGTAGAGAACCTTCACAGGCCCCCTGCATGACAGTGGCCCTGCCTGAGCCCAGTCACTTGCCGAGGCACTGAACTCCATCTCTGCCCCATCCAGTCCACCTGTCCCAGTGACTTACTGGGAGGATTTCTAGAAGTGGAGTATGAATAGGGTGAATGGTTAGGTAAGATGATTGCCATAGGACTGGCCAGCCTGACTCAAACGGCCAATCCGGTAATGAGGTCGGATTCCTGTCTTTGGAAACAACTGACTTTTCTTTTCAGCTTGTTGATTTTTACTTGTGGGGGAATCGTTAGTTGAAACCCGAGAGCGTGTAGGTGTTTCCCACTTCCCTTCCTCATCTCAGCGCGTAGCCCGCCCGTGGGGGTGGGAGGCCTGCCGGGCAGACCTGGGAGTCGCACTCAGCGCTCCACGGCCCCGACCCGGCCCCGGCCCCGGCCCCACGCTTTTCCTCCCGGACTCTGGAGGGCCCGGGGCGGGCCGCGGTGCCTGTCGGAGGTGATCGCCTGCCCCGCGTCCCTCACCGTCCCGCCCGCCCCCTTCCGGACGTAGCGGGGTCCGCCGACCTCGGCCTGGAACGGCGCTGCCCGAGGCCCCTCACCGCGCCGACCCCCGCCTCCCGGACTCACCCGAGCCGAGACAGGCAGCCTGGGGGCCGCGGTGCCCGGGGCGGCCGGAACCCGCCTCCGCCGGCGACGGGGCCCCGCCGCCCGCTTCCGGGTTTCCCCCGGGTCTTCCACGTTTCTGCGTCTCTGATTCTTTCATCGCCCCCAAGGCAGGGAAGCCATGGGTTTTTATTCTCCACGCCGTACAAACGGAGCAGGCACAGGCCCCGCCAGTCCTGTGCCCCTAACAAACAAGACCCCAGGATCTCTCCCTGTTCTCTGTCCCCAACAAACATGGCGGCAGGAAGGAGGGTCGCTGCCCTCATGTGCCCCCAACAAACATGGCCCCACGGTCCCTTCCGGCGGAAGTCCGGCGGAGCCGCTGGCAGGTCAGGATCCGAGTTCGTGGTTCCCCTGCGGGCTAGGAAAGTCGAACTACCGTTACCGAGGGTCGTGTCCTTAGATTTTAACCGAGTCACCGTGATGGGACTGATATTCCAGCCTCTTCAGCTGCACGTCGTAATCTCAGGGTTACATCTACAGGTACCAAATTCCATGATATGCTGATTCCCACTGGTTCATAGAGGTGGCCTTACTTCGGGTCTGGAGTCGCTTTCTGTAGCCCGTCGGTGCTAACTGCATTCTTAGTGCAGTGATCGCGGACAAGCAAAGATAGCCCGAGACGCTGCTCAGAGTTTCCAAAGTGCAAAAGTAAGTAAACTACCGGAGTCTTCTTACCTTTGGGCAACTGCACAGTCATCTCGTGAATTAGCCAACGGGGGGGGGGCGGGGGGGGGCGGGGACAAACCACAGTGCCGCTGAGGCTCTTGGAAAAGCCCAGGGCTTCCAGGCGTGTGGACCGGGCTCCTCTCTGGTGGCTCTTAGGTGAACCCGTCAACTGGGCGACTTAGCGAATTTGAGGGGGTAATTCACATTAGTTTGGAAGGAAGTTGGTGTTGGAGAGTGGGATTGCCCAGGGCCATGCGAGGGCAGGAGAGATGGGAGAGACCAGGAGGCTGGGAGGCAGGAAGGGGGAGTAGGATGAGGGGAGTGCAGGTGCCCCCTCCAGTGGGCTCTCTGGCTGTGCCCCCCTGGTTCTGATGCACCCTCCAAGCATGCAGGCTTGCATCCTCCTACTCGCTGCTCCAGGCCAACCTGACCTTCCAGGGCCGTGCTCCTCTCCTTGGTGGAGTGGGGCCTCTGTAGGGACCTGATGCTGGAAACCTCCAGGAACTTGGTCTTGCTGGGTAAACCTGCCCTGCAGTTCTTAACTGTGCATCTTAGCTTCATCCTCTCTTGGGCACAGCCATAGGTTCTGAAGCTGACCGAGTTTTGGGCTCAGGATCCATCAGGGCTGTGAAACAAGGGAAGGCCTTGTCTTACACTTGTACTTACACTGGGAAGACCACTGATTCAATGTCAGACCTGGGATGGGGTGGGTTCTGTACTTCGGATCTTGTTCAAGACATTTAACTTCTCTGAGCCTTGATTTCTATGAAGAGAAGAATAATTCCTTTTTCATAGGGTGGTTTAAGTTAAATGGTACCAGTATATTAAAGTTCCTAGTTGAATACCTGGCACATAGTAGAGACTGAAAAAAAAAAGTTAGTTCAGTTTCCTCTTCTGCATTGTTACGGAGAGTTGGAAATGGGTGATCCCCTTTTGGGATCCCTGGTTTTACACTTTCTTCCTTTTTGAGCTCCATTGATAACCAACTTACATACTCCAATTCCAGGAATCCTCCCAAGGTCTCGCATGGAGCCCACACCCCAGTGTTGGCTGATTTGTCGTTGTCACCATTGTTCCATCTAGGATTCCTGGTTGCAAGAAGTGTTGGAAGGAAGTCGGGAGGCTCACAGAATCCCGGGAGATAGTGTGGGAAGCAGGGGTGCTCTGGAGAAACAGGGAGCAGCAGGCCCCACACACCAGAATGGTCTGCTCTGCCGAGTGACATTACCGCCAGTGTTTCCTCTGCCTCTCTCCAGTCCACATACATAGGTCACATGTTCTCCCTCACTGGACTGTGGCAGGGAGAGGAAGCTAATGACCCATCAGCTTCTGAATATGGAAACTTGAGTTAACATCCCTCCAAGATCACATACACTGTGGTGGAGATAGTTCCCCAAAAGGAAACTGTTTGCTATTAGAAGGGGAGCAGGTGCTAGAAAGCCCAAAACCAATAAATGCCAACCATGAGTACTGCCTTTATCCTGGCACTGTGCAAAGTTCTTTTCCCAACATTATCTCATTTAATCCTTGCAACAAACCAATGAAGGCAGGTGCAGCTACTCCCCCCACTTTACAGATGGATAAGTTGATGATCAGAGAGGTTAAGTACCTTGTTTAAAGTCACACAGTAAGTGTTGGAGCTGAGATTTGAGTGCAGATCTGCCTGCCTTGGCAGTAGTGCTCTTGACCACTGCACCATACTGCTTTTCTGCCTTCCAGTGAGGAAAGCACACACAAGCTTGTTATTTCTCTGTGCTCAAATATCACCCTTAACCCACTGTGTAAACCCATCTTCCCATAGACACAGCTTCCCCTGGACTTTTAAAATGATGGCTTCTCTCAAAGTCCCTGTCTCTAACAACAGGGCTTCATACACCTAGAGTCTGGCACCAGTGCAGATGTGTTCTGTGCACCCAAGATGTAGCATTTGCTGTTCTATGAGCAGCAATCCCATGTTCCAAACCTGGTGTGATATCCCAGCTGAAACAAAGGAGAGAGCCGTGGGTCCCAGAGAGACAAAAACCCAAGGATAGAGAACTCCCAGGAGACGACCTCTGCTGCCCAGATAAGCAGGGAGGAGCCAGCCTCCTGCATGCATTAGGGCTGTGTCAGTGAGTGCCCAGTGGGTGTTAGGCTCAGTGGTGGGTCAGTTTTGAACCCCAGCCTCCTCCTGTTGTGTCCTGTCCCTGGGCAGTCCACTGGGTCTGAGGTAGAGGGTCCATAACTCTGGTGAGGTGTTGTCATTGGCCATCTGCAAACACTGTGCCCTGTGTGGGTTTAGTTATGCTGCCCTCTTTCACTGCCCCTCTACACCAAGGGCCACTACTCAGGAGACATGGAGGGAAATCTAGAGCCCCCAAGTATTCACTAATGCCTTGAGTGATGCTTATTCACCACCAGAAAACCCACTCGGAAGAGAAACTTCATGAACATAAAGATTGTGACAAAGTCTTCAGGTTAGGTAAGTTTTAAGAAATCACGTTTTGTCATAGGAAAAAAATGGGAAAAACTAAAAGTTTGATCCAAATGTCTAATTATGTTAATGGAGAGACAGTGTGTTTGGATGTATGTTTTCTTAAACAACGTTCTTCAAGGTCAGGGCACTTCTCTTTTTGTTTCATTATACTTCTCTCATTATCTTATTCATACCAGACTTTAATAAATATTTGGGGCTATGGAAAATACAGGAAAATCTTTTTTAAGAACTCACATGTTTCATGTCAGGAGAGGAACCATAGAAAATATGATATTTGGAGAGTAACAGTTCAAATCCAATATGATTCATGATTAAGTCAAACTACATCTATTGTGTAGCTCCTATGTGCCAGGTGGTCTGCTGAGCAATGGCAAATCAAAGGCATGGAAAGACATGTCTCTGTTCCTCAGGGCTGTCAGTCCAGCCAGGAGACAAATGTACATCGAGCCAGGCAGCACTCAGTACAGTAATAGAGATGAGACAGGGTGGGGTGGGGTCCTAGAGGTGGGAGAGGTCTGCAGAGGTGGCTCATCTTCAAAATTCTGAGAGACAGTAACTGCTAACCTCAAAGTTTATTTCCATCCAAGCTATCGTCCAAGAGTGAGAATAAAAATAGATGTTTTGGGATAAACAAAACCCAAAACACCACCAAAAGACCTCACTAAAGGAACTTGAGAAGTCTGTACATTAAAAAAAGAAGATACCAGATGGAAGAACTGAGATATAAGAAGGAACGATGAGCAAAGAGTATGATGTATATTTAAAAACATTGACTGTAAATAAAAATTATGTCTAATTTGGGAGGTTTAAAAACCAAAATAGAAATAAAGTCAAGACAAGAATAGCGGATGAGTCAGGAAGTGGGGATACAGCTGGAGCAGTCAAAGGTCCTTGCACTGTTCGGGAAGAAGATAAAAATATTGATTAACCTAAGGCTTTTATACATTAAGAGGGCGTGTTAAAATTTCAAGATTATGATAAAAGAACAGTAATAGAGTGTATAATTTCCAAACCAGTAGAGAGGGAATCAAGAAAGAGAAAAAATCCCCGATCAATCCAAAGTAAGGTGAGAAATGAAAAAAGGTGGGGAAAAAAGACAAGCAGGATGCAAGTGATAAAAATATCAGTAGGTTAAACTCTCCTATGAGGCAGAGAATACCAGACTGGATTTTTTAAAAGATCAAGCTATACGGAGACCTGCTTAAACCCTGAGAAGACAAAGTTTGAGAGTAAGAAGATGAAGGAAGCAAGCTGTTGAAGCTGTACAACCATGCGATTAAGTCAGCTTGAAGGCCAAAGTCATTACTGTGGATAACAGAATGCCTTTACAAGATTCTGAAATGTTTATTTACCCAGGAAGATACAAATATGTTAAATTCACAGAATAAAATAGTTTCAAATATACCTCAAAAATTATAGAATCACTAAGAGTAATACACAAACAAACTATCATAGTGGGAGGGTGTTATATGCCTCTTTCAATAATTGATAGATCAGACAGACAAAAATCATTAAAGATTGAGAGTTTTTTTCCCTCCTGACACCAAATACATGGTGTCCTCTCCAACGCCAGCTGAGGGTCCTATAATTCGACTCAGTTCTGACACTAATGGCCTGGAGTTCATGTGGACTGCACAGATTAAGGGCTCTGCCCACAAGACTGCACCTACTTCAGACGTCAGTCACAAGTGTCAAGTGCCTGTGGTACTCACACTTCTGTGTGACTGAGCTATGAAGTCAGTGGTCCCCACAGCCCCACTGCCCCAGGTTCAATAATTGGCTAGAATGACTCGCAGAACCCAGGAAAACGCTATACTTACTATTATAGTTTATTATACAGGATACAAATCCACAGGCAGATGAAGAGATACACAGGGGAGGTCTGAAAGCGTCCGAGTGCAGGCACCTCTGTCCTGTGGAGTCGGGATGCACCACCCTTCCAGCACTGGGGTGTGTTCACTAAGTTGGGACCTCCCCCAGATCACCTTGCTTAGGGATTTTAATGGAGGTTTCATTATGTAGGCATGGTTGTGGCCATTGATGATTAACTCAATCTCCAGCTCCTCACCCCGCCCTGTAGTTTGGGAGGTGGGGCTGAAAGTTCCCAGCTTCTAATCCAGGATCAGCATTTCTGATCATGCCTACCCTGAAGCCGTCTAGGGGCCACCAAGAGTCATCTCATTAGAATAAAAGGTGTTCCTATCCTCCTTATCACTCAGGAAATTCCAAGGGTTTTAGGAGCTCTGTGCCATGAACTAAGGACAAGAATAAAATATTTTTCTCAGTATACCATAAGTAAATAGATGATTTGTGCCCCAATTTGAATCCTAATAGCAATTTGAAAATAGCATATGTAGGATTACTTAGGAAAAATGTGAAAGACTTTTAGGGAGAAAGTTATAAAACTATTGAAAAATATTGACGAAGACCTAAATAAATGAGAGGTATGCCAGATTCATGATTATTTTAATACAAAGAGTAAATTCTTCTCAAAATGCTGAATTAACTCAATTCTCATAAAAATCTGAAAGCTGTTTTTAATGGAAATCGATGGACTGATTTGAATGTCAGACTTATAAAGGTTGGCAGTTGACCAGGGTGGCATAGTGCTGGAATTTACAATGGCCTAGTGGAACAAAGTGTAGCGTTCTGAAATACACCCGTGTGTGTGTGGAAATGAACTGCAGCAGAGGTGGCACCACAGATCAGAATCCCACAAATGAGGTTAGGAAAGTTGATTATCCATATTTTAAAGATAAAATTGAATTCTGCTTTACATAGAGACAAAAGTCAATTTCAGTTGGAGTAAAACTGAATTTGAAAGGCAAAACCATAAACTTTTAGAAGAGGAAGTTAGCACTATGATCTCAAGTTAAGAAAAGATTCTTAAGACACAAAAAGGGAAAATAAAAAGATCGATACATTCAGTGTGGTTAAAAAATGAGAATTTCTTTTCATCAAAGTACACTATAAAGAAAGTGAAAAGCTACAGAGTAGGAGAAGACATTGGTACTATATACAACTGACAAAAGATTAGAGCTTATAATGTATAAATAGCTCCTATACATTCAATAAGAAACAGTAGATCGAATAGAAAACTGAACCAAAGACATAAACAAGAACTTTATAGAAAGAGAAACATGAATGGCCAACAAATATAGGACAAGATACTCAGAAAAATGAAAATTGAAATCTCAGTGAGATACTATTTTTTAATCATCGCACTGACAATTTAAAAGTCTGATAATACTGAATAGTGAAGCTGTGAACATATAAATTCTAACACGCTGCAGGTGGGAGTGTAACCTGGTACAACCACTTTGGAAAGTTGATGCTGGTATTATCTAGGAAAGTGGAAGATGTGCATAACCCTACAACTCCGCTTTTCCACTCCTAGACATATCTTAGAGAAATTCCTGCACATAAGAGACATACAAGAATATTCCTGGTGCATTGTTAATAACAGCAAAAAAATGGAAGAAATGCAGATGTTTATTGGTGGGTCTCCTTATGTTGTGGAATATCACTAGTGAAGAAAATGAACTACAGCTGTACACAGCAACATGCATAACCTCACAACATATTGAGGAAACAGCAAGCTTAACACATATAGATGATTTGATGTATTTAAAGTCCAAAATATGCGAAACTAAACAATACTGTTTAGAGACACATATTTACATTATATAAGTATCAAGAAAAGGAAATGGTCAATTTCAGTGTAGTTTTCTCTGAGGGGAGGAGTGGATTGTGACCTTGGAAGGAAGAGTACACTGGGTCCTCAAAGATATTGATAATGTTCTGTTTCTTAAACTGGATGGTAGATACATGCATTTTAATGTTTTACCTTAAAATACGTTTATATATACAGTCAATCCTCATTACAGTGGATTTCATATTTGCAAATTTGCCTACTTGCTAGAACTTGTTTGTAACCCCAAAATCAACAGTTGCGCTTTCACAGTCATTCACAGACGTGCACAGAGCAGTGAAAAATCTGTGACCAGATGGACATGTTCCCAGCTGAGACTGAACTAGGTGGCACTCTGCTTTGTTCCAGTTCTTATACTGTAAACCAGTGTCCTCTCCACGGTATGTTCAGTGCATGCTTATTGCATTGTTGTGCTGCTTGGTGGTTTGCTGTTTGCGGTGGCCCTGAGGCGTGGTGCTGAAGCGCCGTCTAGTGCTCCTAGCTGCAAGGAGGCTGCGACGTGCCTTGTGGAGGACGTGTGCGCTGCTGGCCGTGAGCTCAATGTCAATGATCGACAACAGATATTTTAAAAGTTTCTTTAAACAGCAGCACACATGAAACAAGGTTGTGTGTTAATTGGTTGATGAAAACGTTGCGAACTGCAGCTCCCAGGAACCGAACTGTGTTCCCCCAGAAGCAGTTCTCAGCTACTTTATAGAACCACCTCGAATAAAGAGAATCGGCTGAGTATGAATATCTGTATTTGCACGTATGGGATTTGTGATCTATCCTCTGAAGAGGCTGCGCGAGCAGGAAAGACTGTAGTAGTGGAGACCGGCGTGTGCAAGAGCCAGGAAGTGGCCCTGGGGATGGAGCGTTAGGAGCGGCTGTGCAGGCGCGGCCCGCGCGGGGAGGCAGCGCCGAGGATGCTGGGTCCTCTCCGCCTCGCTCTCGCAGGGGCTCCACGGCCCTGCTGTCTGCGTCCGGCGGTCCAAACAGCCGCCAGCGCTGCCAGGGAGGGAGGACGCCGCGGCCGCCAGCGCTGGGGGATCAACGCGGCCCCGCCCACCGCACGCTCGCGTCCGGAGGAACGCTGCGCCGCAGGCGCGTTTCTGGAGGAGTGAATTCGGCGTCGGACTGAGGCCCTACGTCGGTTCCGGCGGTGACCGCGGCGCATGGAGGTGAGCGGGGAGGAGAGGGCGCGCAGGTGGCGGGTCCTGGGCCGCCGGCCGCCCCCGTGACCCTCGTGCTGCCCCCTCTCCCTTTCCCCAGGCCCTAGAACGTCCTCCTCGGGAGACGGCGGCGGCCCCAGGCGCAGGTACCACCCTGCCCCGCAGCCCCTGGTGCCCCGCGGCCCCCGGCCGTGAGGTCCAACGCGGTCCGTCTCTGCTCAGGAACCCCAGCGCGCAGCGACGCCGCCTCGAGGGCGCGCCCCGGCGGCGCTGAAGGCGACGCGGCCTCTAGGAAGCAAAAGAAGAAAAAGAAAACCTGGAGCGGGGCCTCCGTAGCGAATGGCGGCAGCAAGGCCTCAGAAAAGCCCGCCCCGGAGGAAGCTCCCCTAAGCGCGGAGGCCCAGGCAAGGGCGGAGTCCCTGGGCGCGTCTCTGACTGGCGGGTGCAGGCAGGGAGGCGGAGGGGATGGGGGTTTGGGGTCCTTGTGGGATGAGGCTGGAGGCCGCGGGGCCCTGGCGCGCACAGCCACTCTCCCCAATCCATCACAGGCAGAGCAGCTGGCCCGGGAGCTGGCGTGGTGCGTGGAGCAGCTGGAGCTGGGCCTCAAGACGCAGAGACCCAGCCCGAGACAGAGTGAGGGGCCCTTCTGTGGAGTTGGGGGTGCACGGGGGCAGTGCTATGGTCTGTGTGTTGCTAGGGAATGGGATCGCTGCCTTTGCGACAGGACGACAGGAGGTGAGGATAGAGGAGGTCACTGTCCTTTATTTTTATCCGCAGAAGAGCAGGCTGTTGGGGCAATCCGAGCCCTGCGCAGCGAAAGAACCCCCCTGCCCCGGAAGAGGCAGCTGATGCGCTCCTTGTTTGGGGACTACAGGGCGCAGATGGAAAGCGAGTGGCGCGAGGCGCTGCGGGCCCTCAGGACTGGTGAGCAACCGAGAACAGTTAAAGGGGTAGGGAGAGAAAGTAAAAGCCCAGAGCAGCAGCGCTGGCGGGAGGAGGAGATGGGCGCAGGGAAGCCTCTGGGGGGAGCAGGGAATGAGCAAGCCTGGACCTCAGGAACACACAATTCGGGCCTGGACCAGGGAGACAGGAGCAGGACAGTTAGTGAATCTCTCTGATGCCAAAAGGGGTGTGATGATAGTACCTACCTTTTAGTTTTTGAGAAGTAAGCCCGTTAATTTATACAAAGGGATTAGGGTTGTGTGGGCACAGGTCACGTTAGCCGTTATTATTTAGTCCTGACACTGTCTCTGCCCTCCTCTGCAGCAGCCCACTCAGCCCAGGTGCAGCCCGTGGGTGCTGCCGCCAGAAAGAAGAATGGAAGGGTCTGCAGGCCTCGCCTAGCAAGGGGAGTCAAGGCACCCCTGGACACTCCTGATGAAGAGTTTAGGTTCAATTTCTTTTAGTCTTTCCCCCATCCTGGAACAGTCTCCCTCCCTGGGTGGCATAGGGGTTTATCTTGAGTGCAGAGCCGTTCCAGGGATGCTCTTTTGGACACACGTGGGGTTGGTCTATCCCTGGCTGGTCAGTGAATCTGGTGCCATTGCTGTTGGGCAGATGTGACACTACCTTGTTGGGTACTGTCAGACAAGCACAAGACCCCATTTGTAGGTTTTCAAATGAAATGTCCTTCTTGCCAGAAGTGGGAGGTCCGTTTAGAAAAGCTTCAACAAAAACTGAAGCGAGTGTTCATCAAGTTGTAGAAAGAATATTTTACTCAGCCTCCAGTATTAGGTGTAGTAGCTGTTGGTAATGAGGATTAGTGGGAAAGCTGCATAGTTGTGCACTGGTGCTCACTTATGGAAGAATGTCTGGTCATGTGGTGTAGTGCTGTCGTTATGTCACATTGCCCCAATAAAACTTTTTATAAAAGTGAATGAGTGAAAACGTGTGCTAGCTATGTCTGTTAGGAGAAGCAAAGATGAGGCAGGCGTCTGGCATTGCTGGATCCAGGCTCTCACCCCAGTGCTTGGTCATTTTTGTTGCCTTCATTTCTGAGCAAGTCATCCTCGGAGCCAGCATGGCCCCCAGCAGGCCAGACTTTGTTCTTAGGAGCAGAGAGCTTCTTGTCCTAACAGTCCCCACCAAAGACTTGATTGAGCCTAGTGGATGACCTCTCTAAGTGTCGGCTGCTCCAGGTCATAGTCCCAGGCCTTCTGCTGCATTGAATTGCATTTTCCAGGTGGCCTCAGTGGCTGTGATGTCATTTTTGCCCGTGTCTCCCAAACTTGCATCCCAGACTGCATAGATGCCTGGAGCCTAACTGCCTACTCAAGGTCTGCATTTGGATGTTTTGTGGGCATCTCAAACTTGACATGTCCAAAACATGTGGTCAGCCTCCGGATCTCTTCTCATCTTCTGCTTTTCAGTGAGTGACACTACTGCCCACATAGTTGATTAATCCAGAAGCTGGGTTGACACGTATGCTAAATACTTTAGCTGGTGTGTGAGTTCTGTCTTCACAATCAATCTCAAATCTTTTGTGCTTTCTTTGCCTTCACTGGTAGGCGTTCCAGTCCTCGCCCCATCCCTTCCCTGAGTGCTGCGTGAGCCTCCAGGTGTTAGTCCCCTTACACCGACTCTTGCCTCCTGTCTGTTCATGGCAACCAGAGCCATCCTCCACGTGTGTTGAGTTCTATTTCTTTGACCCAGTGACTTCATTGTACTGAAGGCTGGTGGATGACACCTCACATAGGGCCTGCACACGTCTAGGCTCCTGACTGCCCCTCCTGTCTGCTCCTGAAGTTACCAAACTCAGTCCTACTGCTCCTTTGCCTGCTCATCCTCCAGATCCTAGCATAACTCGCTTCTGGGAGAGTAAACACCAGCCTTGATTGAGAAAGTTGCTGCCCTGTCATTCATCAGTTTGGGGGGGCGGGGCGCAGAGGGGACTGCTGTGAAACACTGCCGGGCTTCACAGAGAGCACTTAATAGCAGGTCCTGGACTCAGGAGACACCGTGGGGGGCACCAGGAAGCAAGAAGCATTTGAAGACGAGATGCAAGAGTGCTCCCTGGCTTCTGGGTGGGCAGTTGACCTTGCTGTCGTCTCCATCCTTAGATCCCATCTTTCTACTTGGGATGCTGGCCTGTCCCCAGAGGTGTTCTCGGCGGCGCTTCCTGTGTGGCTCACATGTTAGGCAGCCACAGCTAAGTCACACCCACTGGCCTCAGTTCACCTGTCTGTAAACCAGTGTGAGTGGAAGTGGTGGGCAAGGTTGCCTGGAGGCCCTGACCCACCTGCTCTCCCCTCTGGCCTCAGTGTTCTGGCCCATGCAGCAGGCCCTGGTGCGTTGAGTGTGGTCTCAGGCCAATACTGGCTCCATGGCTCTAAAGGACAAGATGTGGCTCTGCAGCTCACCTGTAGTTCTTCCAGGTGGGCTCCACCATGTTTCTGACACGAACGCTGCTGGACAGTGTTCTCATATGGCCCCTGCAGGGGTCCTGGTGTCCAGCCTCACTGAGAGTCCCCTGACCCGTCCCCCTGCTTTGCCTAGAGATCCCACTCAGGGAACTTATTTCTGTTTCCCCAGTCCCTCCTTCTTTCCTGGGGTTCCCCTGGTCTCTTCCTCCTGCTCCAGGACTAGTCCTCCTCGCCCAACTCCTCCCCTGGTATCCTCCTCTCCCCGGCCCCAGGCTCTACTCATGGCCCACACACTTCCTACCCCTCCCCTTACACTCTCTACCCAGTATCCCACTCCTCCTCCCTCTGGAGCCCTCTGCCCCTCCTACCCAGGTCCCTGTCTGGTCAGCTCTCACCCTCCTCTCTTCCAAGTCAGCTACATCTTGGACTACTTCAGCCCAGCCCTGTAGCAGTGCCTGGAGGAAGATGAGCTGGAATGGAAACCCAGCCTGTCGCTGTGCTGGCCCTAGGCAAGGTTGACCACAACCATTGTGCTGACTGGTCTCTTCCTCTTAGGGCTGGGAGCTGCCCAGGCAGGGCCATCTGTGAGTCCAGCTGAGGCTCAGGCTGTGGGTTATTGTGTCTGTGGTTCTGGTACGGCCCTCTCCTTGGGTGGCAGTGAGGATTCTGGACAGGATCCAGGTGCCCCAGGCTGGCAGGAGCAGTATGCAGGTTCCACTGCCCTCACCTCCCTGTGTGCTGCACTGGACCAGGGGTCTGAGGGTGCCTGGGGCAGCCTTGAGTGTTGGAAGAGGGACCCTGTCCTCCTGGCTCCCTGAGTACCTGCTTTCTTCTGTGGAGTTAGGGAAGGGACCAAGAGGTCAGAATGGATGCTGTTTTGTAAAATGTGACGTACATGGTGGTTTTCAGTAAAATAGATCATTTGTTCTACAAACCTATCAGCACCTGCTCTGTTTCCTATGGCCTGTTCCTAGGACTTTTTTTTTTTTTTTTTTTTTTTTTTTTAGCAGAGGGGGGGCTCTCCCCCTTCCTTGAGTCCCATTGTCTCCTGAAAAATGGAAGTGTATCTCTCACCCTCTGGATGCTTGGACAGGCCCGGCTCAGTGATACACCCTCAGTCCCTTGAGGTTTCAGAGCCCCATCAGTGGCCACCTGCAACTGCATATACCCTGGGTGTCCTGGAGCTCCCGGGAAGCCCCCAGCCTAGTTTGTCCACTTGCTGTGCCCTGTGGGATTCACTAAAAGCTGATCACCTGGCCAGAACCACCCTCCAGTCAAATTGATTAACTAAAGAGAAAGGTGAGTAGTATTTTTTTCTATTTTGAAGGCAAATATATTATAGAAAAATATATTTGATCTAATAAAAGAATATTAACAATTAATATCCATATAGCATGCTATTGATTCTTTTAAATTGTCTACACATATATCAGTTATCAGCTGAAAATGTTATTTTTATAATGTTATTAATTGTAGATTGTACATTTGTTGGAAAATTTTCCCAGTTTATTAGGTGTGCTTTAATTTTTAAAGGACAATTAAAGTATTTGTATATTCCTTTATAGTATTTTTCTAATTTAGAAAGCAGCTTCAGAATTTTTATTTTCACCTCGATTTTCTTCTAATTCATGAGTGCTTATTTTGTCCCTTAATATTAAAAATAATTAATATTATTTTGTTATGTGAGGATGAGCCAACCAAATATATCAACACCATTTGACCTTTTAAAATTTAAAAATTTTTTTCTTTAAGATATGTAAGTTGTTAAAATATAATATGCATAAATGTTGATACACTATATCCATATTTTAATGATTTTCTCCATAATTTTTTTTTTAACTCTCTCAATTATGTTCCTTAGGGAGTGTTTTTCTGGTGGTTTAGTCTCTGGGGCTTTGTGCTTACTTTTTCCTATTCCTGGAATCTCTGTTTTTTTGATCATCTCCCCAGTTACCCTGCTTTCCCTGTGAGAGCTTGGTGAGTCCTCACCGGCTCAGAGAGGGATGAAATTGCCCTCAGACTCCCACAGCAGCGCATCTCGTCATCATCACATTGCATGTTGCTCTGCGCATGTGACGGGCCAGGTCCCATGTGTCCTTCCTCACTAAAAGACTCCGTGGGCTGCTCAGTGCCCAGCTCAGGGTGGCCAGTCCACAAATATCTGTTGGGTAAAAAAATGACTGATATTTATAATTTTTTTCTTTCTTTGTTTTGCTTATTTTTTCAGATCATGTAATAAAAGAGAACATGAACTCTGTTTTCTTTTTGTCTAGGGTTTAAATATCATATAACAACAAATTTTCACATAATCTCTTATGTCATCATTAATTTCTTATATTCGCTTGGGCTTATATTGATTGAACCTCGTGACTTTAGCCATGCTCCTATGGGCCAAAAATATACCCAGGTGAAAAAACTTGGTCTGGAACTGCCTAGAAATGGACCTGTTTATGGGACTTCTAGCCAGACTCCATGTGACTTCAGGAGAAACATGTGGATAGATGGGGTTCCTAAGGGAGTTTTTTTTTTTTTAATTTAATTTTTTTTGAGTTAATGATAGGTTGCAATCTTGTGAAATTTCAGTTGTACATTATTGTCTGTCAGTCGTGTTGTAGGTGCACCCCTTCACCCTTTGTGCCCACCCCCACCCCCCCTTTCCCCTGGTAGCCACTAATCTGTTCTCTTTGTCTACATTTTTAAATTCCTCATATGAGTGAAGTCATGCAGAGATTGTCCTTCTCTATCTGGCTTATTTCACTTAACATAATTCCCTCAAGGTCCATCCATGTTGTTGCAAATGGGACGATTTTGTTCTTTTTTACAGCTGAATAGTATTCCATTGTGTATATATACACATCTTCTTTATCCAATCATCTGTTGATGGGCACTTAGGTTGCTTCCACATCTTGGCTAATGTAAATAATGCTGCAATAAACATTGGGGTGCATGGGTCTTTTGGAATTGCTGACTTCAAGCTCTTTGGATAGATACCCAGTAGTGGGATAGCTGGATTGTATGGTAGTTCTATTTTTAATTTTTTGAGGAATCTCCATACTGTTTTTCATAGTGGCTGCACCAGTTTGCATTCCCACCAGCAGTGTATGAGGGTTCCTTTTTCTCCACAACCTCTCCAACATTTGTTACTATTTGTTTTAGTTATTTTTGTCATTCTAATGGGTGTAAGGTGATATCTTAGTGTAGTTTTGATCTGCATTTCCCTGATGATCAGCGATGATGATGAACATCTTTTTATGTGCCTATTGGCCATCCATATATCTTCTTTGGAGAAATGTCTGTTCATGTCTCCTGCCCATTTTTTGATTGGGTTGTTTGATTTTTTGTTGTTGAGTTGTGTGGGTTCTTTATATATTATGGATATTAACCCTTTGTCAGATGTATGACTTACAAATATTTTTTTCCAGTTAGTGGGTTGTTTTTTTGTTTCAATCCTGTTTTTCCTTGCCTTGAAGAAGCTCTTTAGTCTGATAAAGTCCCATTTGTTTATTCTTTCTATTGTTTCCCTTGTCTGAGAAGACATGGTGTCTGAAAAGATCCTTTTAATACTGATGTCAAAGAGTGTACTGCCTACATTTTCTTCTAGAAGCCTTATGGTTTCAGGTCTTCTTGATGAAGTGTCCCTTTGATCATTATATATTGGCCCTCTATGTCTCTCTTTACCTGCCTTATCTTGAAATCTGTTTTGTCTGATATAAGTACTGAGACACCTGCTTTCTTTTGTTTGCTATTAGCTTGGAGTATTGTCTTCCACCCCTAAGGGAGTTCTTAAGTACTCCTTTGAAGGGACATAAATGGGGCTGGGCAATGGGAGGGAAAACCTTGAGGAATCCAACAAAATACTCCTCAAGAGAAACAGTGAGCTTTTGAGCATCTAAATACACAGATGACCCTGAGGTCAGATAAGTTCATTCTTTTCCTTTCCAAAAACCCAAATCCTGCCCCACTTTTAGCTCTTATTTCCTGGAGGAATCGGAAGCTGTGTGGAAGATAAGAGGAGGTGGCAGACTTGGGGCAGAAGTGGGAGGTGGCACTGCATAGTCTGGACAATTTAATATCAAAAATCTATATGGAAAAAGGATTCTGGGAAGGTTATTTGAAGGCTAATTGTGAGATTATATGAGATTGCTTTGAGTTCCAAACTAACGGGTTCCAGGCCATTCCATAAACCAGATACAAAGACATCTGTAACTGTGTGCCATATAGTCACATTTGGTTAAATGTTTAATAAATAGCTATTTTTAAAATGTACTTATAGGGGCCAGCCTGGTGGCACAGAGGTTAAGTTTGCATGTTCTGCTTTGTGGCCTGAGGTTTGCCAGTTCAGATCCTGGGTGCAGACCTACACACCACTTGGCAAGCCATGCTGTGGCAGGCGTCCCACATATAAAGTAGAGGAAGATGGGCACAGATGTTAGCTCAGGGCCAGTCTTCCTCAAAAATAAAAATGTACTTATACAGATAAATTTGGCATTGTCCAAGAAATATAATAGTTTGTTATCTACTTAGGAAACTTTTTAAAAAAGGCCTTCATGAGGACATTTTCTGACTCTTGATACTTGAAGTACTCAAAAAGATAAGTTAGTATGCTGTGGTTGAGGGGAAGTACCATGGAAATCCCAATTGTCCCTAAGTCTGTAGCCATGTAAAGTTTTTTCTAGAGTTTAATTCTCCATGAGGTTCAGATCAATATAAGATCAACTGTGAGGCCAGCCCCAGTGGCCTAGTGGTTAAATTTGGTGCATTCTGCTTCAGGGCCCTGGGTTTGGTTCCTGGTGTGGACCCACACCACTCACTTCTCAGTGGCCATATTGTGACAGTGGCTCACATAGGAAAAAAAAAAGAGGAAGATTGGCAACGGATGTTACCTCAGAGCAAAACTACCGCAGCACAAAAAAAAGATCAATTGTGGCAGACTTCTGTGGCTGAAAAACAGCTAAGCAGCCCATGGTTATGGAACATTTTAAGGTGTGGCTGAGGAAAATGCCTTGCTATTTCTGAGACTCTAGAAGACTTGGCTTGAGGTTTTAGCGTTGTTCAAATAAAGGCTTTGTTGCTTAAGCTGAGTGTGCAAAAAGCACCACCCTCATTAGTGCAAGGTACGGTTAAGCAGTCTTCTTCCAAAACCCTCTGTCCAATGACATCTCTCCCTCCGAAGAAATCCTCACTTTCACATTTGTTTTTCTAGTTTCTAGTTATTACTTGCCAGATCTTATTATGGTGTAGGAAGCACATCGTCTCCTTAGCATGCTAAGAACTTTGAATGTTGTCCAAGAAAACAAGGAAATCATTGAAATATTAAACAGAAAATGGTTATAGTAACTAGATTTTAATTTTAAAAATGTCGTTTTTCTTGAGGGTAGAGAATGGATTATACGGTTAAGGGTAAAAGTTTTCAGAGAGAAAATTTAGGGGGAGTCTACTCAGAGATAGACACTCAGCTAATTAAACAGCTCTAAATGGTCTGTCCATGCTTACTTATTTATTATTTAATCTACACTTATTTACTATTTATTTATTTATTTATTTTATTTTATTTTTTTTTTAAAGATTTTATTTTTTCCTTTTTCTCCCCAAAGCCCCCCAGTACATAGTTCTATATTCTTTGTTGTGGGTCCTTCTAGTTGTGGCATGTGGGACGCTGCCTCAGCGTGGTTTAATGAGCAGTGCCATGTCCGCGCCCAGGATTCGAACCAACGAAACACTGGGCCGCCTGCAGCGGAGCGCGCGAACTTAACCACTCGGCCACGGGGCCAGCCCCCACTTATTTACTATTTAGTGTTTAGTCTTCAATGCTAAAAATTGTATTTATTCTTTAGTCATTATATAAATCTAATAGTTTAATGAAAACAGTTCCAGTGGGGAAAAAAATCCTTTATAAAATCTGTGGTTCCTTTTTACATTTATTCATTCATTCCTTCATTTATTTTGGCTCATTTGAAAGCAGAGAAAAATAAGCAATAGTTGGGCTAATCTTTCTTCTTTTTAATTGGCCTTCAGATCAGACTGTCTGGGTTTAAATTACATCTTTATCATTTAGTAGCTTCATGATGTTGCAGAAGATTTTTAATCTCCCAGGGCATATTTTTCTCCGTAATACAGCTATGATAATTGTATCTATGGATAATGTTACTCCCAGTATCATTATCACCTAATGAAACCAAAATGGACCTAGTGAATCTATTTAGTTTTGACTCAGTTATTTCCATGAAACGAATAAATTGGCTCCTTTAAATTATCATGTAGACAACAATGT